AATGCATTAAAGTGTTATTATGATGGTAAAGCTTAGGAGTTGAGAGAAGTTACTAAATGCTAAGATTTTTTTTTTTTTAAATCAAAAAATCAAGAAATTTAGATTGGGAGATTAGAGCTCCCACAAGCCTTGGGATTAAAAACCCCATTTTGCTTAATATATAGTATAGAAGTATAGATAGATAGATCACAAATTAAGTCAATTGATAATTAAAAAACACAACAATTTATTTTTCAAAAAACATAGTGAGTTAAAAAGATCAATTACAATTTTTTTGGAGGTCAAAATACGATCTAATCATCATTAATAATTGATACATTATGTGACTCTAATAAGTACAATCTATTTTGTTTTTAAAAAGACACAGTAAGTTAAAAATCAAATCACAAATTAAGTGAATTGATAGTTAAAAAAGCACAATAATTTTTTTTTCAAAAAATACAGTGAGTTAAAAAAATCAATTACAATTTTTTTTTTCAAAATGCAATCTAATCATTATCAGTAATTGGTACTTTAAAAATCAAATAAGAAAAAAATCAAATCAAATCACAAATATTTTTATGCTATCTAACAACAATTATATTTTTTCATAAATAATTGTAAAGAAAAACCATTAAAATAGTAAATAATAGATTAAATCACATTAAAAAAAAATCATTGAACAAACTACAATCACATCACATTTTTCCCATAATAAAAAAAATAAATAAATAAAAAAAAGAACCATTGACTAACTACAATTACATTAAAAAAAAAAAGGAACCATTGAACTAATTACAATCACATTTTTTCTTTGTGAGTGTTTATGTTTATCTAACATTAATCATATTAAAAATAAAATTAAAATAATAAATAAAAAGATTAAATAACATTAAAAAAAATCATTGAACTAACTACAACAATCATATTAAAAAAAAGAGCCATTGAACAAACTATAATCACATCACATTTTTCCCATAATAAAATATATAAATGAAAAAAAAGAACTATTAAACTAACTACAATCATATTAAAAAAAAAAAATCATTCAACTAATTATAATCACATTTTTCTTTTTGTGAGGGTTTATATTTATCTAACTTCAATCATATTAAAAAATCAAATTATAGTTTTTTATTCGCCAAACAAATCACAAATATTTTTATGCGCTATCTAACTACAATATTAAAACAGTAAATAAAAGGAAAAGTCAAGAACAAACTACAATCACATCACATTACAATCACATTTTTTTCTTTGTGAGTGTTTATATTTATCTAACTTCAATCATATTAAAAATAAAATTAAAATAGTAAATAAAAAGATTAAATAACATTAAAAAAAAATCATTGAACTAACTACAACAATCATATTAAACAAAAAGAGTCACTGAACAAAGTACAATCACATCACATTTTTCTCATAATAAAATAAATAAATGAAAAGAAAACTATTAAACTAACCACAATCAAATTAAAAAAAAGAATTATTCAACTAATTATAATCACATTTTTCTCTTTGTGACGGTTTATATTTATCTAACTTCAATCATATTAAAAAATCAAATTATAATTTTTTATTCGTTAGACAAATCACAAATATTTTTATGCGCTATCTAACTACAATATTAAAACAGTAAATAAAAGAAAAAGTCAAGAAGGAGAAAACAAAAAGAAAACATATTGTTTGCATACGTGGTTACTGCAGTTGAAAGTGTAAAAGTGAGAAGTCAAGAAGGAGAAAACAAAAAGGAGACTCACTGTTTGCAATAGGTATGCGAAAAGTTAAAAAGAGTGTGTGTATTGGAGAAATCTATACTACATATTAAGTAAAAGGGGGTTTCTAACCCCCAAGGCCTGTGGGAGCTCTAATATGCCAATCCTAATTTTCTAATTTTTTGTTTTTTTAAAAAAAAAAAAATTAACCTCAACATTTATTAATTTCTCTTAACCCACAAGACTTTTTGACTTCTTTCATAATTATTACAGTACCTTTTCCAAAACAAATAATTTGTCTATTAAAAAAAATTTAAAACAAATATAAATATCTATATCTATATCTATCTATTTATTTATATGTATCTCTAATCCACAAGTTTTGTGGGAGTTCCAATATCCCAATATAAATTTATTGATTTTTTGATTTAAAAAAAAAAGAGAAAACCTTAGTATTTATTAATTTCTCACAACCCCAAGTCTTACCCTTAGACCATCTGTGAACCAAACTTGGCATCAAATTTAAATTTTGGTAAAAAAAGCACTTTTTGGTGCTCCAACCGTTTCACCAAATTGATATCAAAATGAGAATTCAACAAAAAAATCATCAAACTAAGAATAAGTTGCAGATTTCAGCAAATTACTGTTCCTGACCGTTGGAGAAGAGGAACCGGTCAACTAGCCGATTGCCCAGCCGGTTGACCAATCGGTCGACCACTAAAAGGTTCAAATAGTTCAAATGGGTTGGTTCAAACAGTTCAAATGGGTTGGTTCAAACAATTCAAAAAAAAAAAATTTTTTTGCCTTATCGGTCGACCAGCCGATCGACCACTAAAAGGTTCAAACAGTTCAAATAGGTAAGTTCAAACAATTCAAAAAAAAAAAAAAAAAAAAATTTTTCTTAAGGAAGAAGGGATTTCCAACCCTCAAGCCCTGTGGGAGTTCTAATATCCCAATATGAATTTTCTAAATTTTTTATTTAAAAAAAAAACAGCATTTATTGATTTGGTCAAAATCCTCTGATCAATCTTTATTTACTTTTTCAATCCACATGCTTGCATTTATTGATATGATCAAAATTTACTGATCAACATTTAAAATCCCCTCATATAAATAATCGTAGGTATAACTCGTGCATAGTTACTGCAGTACCATTTTCAACTTCTCTCATACACTATGATCAGTGATAAGATTGTTAAATTATTTTTATAAAAAATCTTAAAAAACATAATTTATATATTAAAAAAAATCTAAAACAAATATAAATATTTATAATTATCTTGTGCATAGCACGGGTGATAGGCTAATTAAAAAGACTTGGAAGAATTTAATAAGTGCTAAGTTTTTTTTTTCAAAAAATATCAAAAAAATTAAGAAATTAAGGTTCAGATATTGGAACTCCCACAAAACTTGTGGGTTAGAGATAGATATAAATAAATAGATACATATAGATATAGATATTTAATTTGTTTTAAATTTTTTTTAATATACAAATTATTTGTTTTGAAAAAGGTACTACAGTAATTATGAAAGAAGTCAAAAAGTCTTGTGGATTGAGAGAAATTAATAAATGCTGAGGTTAATTTTTTTTTAAAAAAATAAAAAATAAAAAAATTAGAATTGGCATATTGGAGCTTTCATAAATCTTATTGATTAAAAACCTCATTTTTTTTAATATATAGTATAAAAATATAGATAATTTCTCTCGAAAAATGTTTAAGATTATCTTTTTTTTGAATCTTACAGCTCTTTTAAATCTCAATAATTAATCATCCGTGCTAAAGGCCTAGAAAGGGAGGCGCGAATTTGCTTCGAAAAGATGTTTTGTTTGTTTGTTTGTTTGTTTGTTTGTTTTTTTTTTTTTTGGTTTTGTTTTATGTTGGTTTGGTTTTGTTTTGTTTTTGTTTTGTTTTTGTTTTTTAAAGGTTTTTATGTGTTTCTTAAAACTAATAAAAAAAAAATTAAACCAATACAACCCAACAAATAAAATAAAATTAAAAAAAAAAACCAACATAGCTCAACAAATAGAAAAAAAAAAAAAACAGTTGGGTTAGACTGATTGGGTGATGAAATTGACTGATCAGTTAGACTGTTGGTTAAAATTTGTTAATTCCATATAATTTTGTACAAGTCCTTACTATATTTTTATTTTAAATCAGAAAGATTCGGAAGAAATAAAAACCTAAACCTTAAATCCTAAACTCTAAACCCACCCTTACACATAATCATCCTTAAAAAAATAAAAAATAAAATTACAACAGTCCAACAAATAAATCAATAAATAAAAACAACCAAACTAACACAACCCAACTCATATAGTTTTGTACGAGTCTTTACTTTATTTTTATTTCAAATTAAAAAGACTCGGATAAAATAAAAACTTAAATCTTAAATTCTAAGCTTTAAATCCACCCCTACACATAATCATCCTTTAAAAAAATAAAATAAAATTATAACAGCTTAACAAATAAATAAATAAATAAAAACAATCAAACTAACACAACCCAACAAATAAATAAAAATAAAAATAAAAACAACCAAACTAACACAGTTTCAAAGAAAAAAAAAAAAAAAAAACTTTTTCGAGCTACATTGGAGACCTCAATCTTTTTTCATAATTAATGTATGTGCAAGACTTACTCGATATATATATAGGCTTGGTTTGGAAAGTGGGTTGGTTTTTTAGTTTTTTGACTTTTTTAGCTATTTTAGCCTGGCTAAAAAGCTTGGTTTGAGAAGGACTTTTTAGTTTTTTGACTTTTTTGACTTTTTTTGTGAGAGAAGAATGTACTAATTATGGGTTAGATGTGATGTTTTGTTTTTTGTGACTAAAATAACCTATTTTATCTTTTGTGACTAAAATAACTAAAAAAGTCCCAACCCAACTTGCCAAACGGAGCCATATATACATATGTAAAGCCCATGCTATCAATAATTGGGAGCCAGAAATTGTGAGTCTCAAAAAACAAGGGTCTATTATTCTCCCATTGGAGATGCTCTTTCTTACGTGGGTGCCAAGTCTTTCTTTTCAACGTGGGAGTCCGAATCAGCATCCCATATCCAATAACAAACAGCCACGTCAACTATTCCACAACAGATTTTTGCGAACCCCATCGAACATTCCAGAGAGAGAATTTCTCTCTCTCTCTCTCTCTCTCTATGTGAGAAAAAACCGCAAGAACGTTCCAGATCCCCCCAACCCCACATATAAACCCATCTTCTTCCTCAACCTTCCACCATTTCCATCATACACTACTCTCATACGCATTTGCAGACTCTCTCTCTCTCTCTCTCTCTCTCTCTCTCACTCACTCACTCACTGTATCTCTCGTTTATCAATCTTCATTTCTGAGACGATGCCGAATCGATATCCAGGAACCATGGCTCAGGATTGGGAGCCAGTGGTCCTCCACAAGTCCAAGCCCAAGGCACACGATCTACGCGACCCGAAGCTCGTGAACCAGGCGCTCCGCTCCGGCGGCCAGGTCCAGACTCTGAAGAAATTCGACGGCGGCGCGAACAAGAAACCGGCGGCGACGGCGATAAACGCGCGGAAGCTGGACGAGGCGGCGGAACCGGCGGCGCTAGATAGGGTTTCGGTGGAGGTGAGGCAGGCGATTCAGAAGGCGAGGATCGAGAAGAAGATGAGCCAGGCCGATCTGGCGAAAAAGATCAACGAGTTGCCTAAGGTGGTTCAGGAGTACGAGAACGGCAAGGCCGTGCCGAACCAGGCTGTGCTGGCCAAGATGGAGAAGGTTTTGGGAGTTAAGCTTAGAGGAAAGATGCACAGGTGATGATGATGATGATGATGATGATGATGATGATATGTATGGTATGGTGTGGTATGGCGTGGAATGGATGATAGATGGATATAGATTGTGCTGGTGTTGAAAATAGAAATCTGTGGTTTTTTGTTTTGTGTTTGTTTGGTTGTTTTGGAAAGTTAGGTTTGTAAAAAAAATTGCTGATGGTCATGAATGTAAATTGTTGTTAATTTAATTAGATACTTAATTGTGCTCTGTTTTTTTTTTTTTTTTCCAGTAATTATTTGTTATTTTGTTGATTATTTATTTATTTATTATAACAAAGGGTTTGTTTGATAATGACTTTTTAGTTCGGCGCAATTCAAAAATAATTTATTTTTTTATTTTTATTTTATCATATCATTTCTCTATTTTTTTATATATTTTTTTATTTTTTAAAAAAATAAAAAGACACTTATTTAGCTCATCTTAAACAACCTTTTAATTTTATGAATTTTTTAGCTTGAGTTTTTTTATTTTATTTTTTATTTATGTGGTTTTTTTGCTTAACTTTTTGACGTGAGATATGAATGTTTTCAAAAGTGAAATGACAAAATTATTCTCAAGTGGCCAAATCTAATAACACCTGCAGGTATGTACAAATTTTGTAATGGAATTACCCAATTTAATATTTTTTTTCCATTTTCCTTTTTTTACATTTTTTGTTAATTGTTTCATGGAATTTGTTTTTGGTAGGTTGTTGATTTGGAATGGGGAAACTATGTGGCTGTGTAGAAAGTGAGTTTTTTTTAGTTATAGGATATTATGAGGGGATTTTTTTTTTTTTGTGTTTGGAAAGATAGATTTTTTTGAATGTAATGTTTATGAGAGAAAAAGTGAAATGATTATGAGATTTTATGTGATATTTTATTTGAATTTATTTTTTTTAATTTTGTAATTAATTTACCTTTAAGTGAAAAAAAAATCCAAACACCCCCATAAAACAAATCATTCTGTCAACAAAACTTGTTAAAATTAACGGAAAATTTTTACAAATTTTGTTGCGTTTCTAGTGACTAAAAAAAAAATAGTAACAGATCTTTTTTTAAAAAAATGATATTTGATGTGATTTTTGTGAGAGAAAAAGTGAAATGATTATGGGGTTGAATGTGATATTTTGTTTGAATTTGTGTTTTTTTGATTTTGTAAAAAATTTGTCTTTTAGTGAAAAAAAAATCAAAAAAAAAATCCAAACACCCCATAAAACAAATCATTCTGTCAACAAAACTTGTTAAAATTAACGGAAATTTTTTACAAATTTTGTTGCGTTTCTAGTGACTAAAAAAAAAAATAGTAACAGATCTTTTTTAAAAAAAAATGATATTTGTTGTTGGTATGTTGCTCTTCACTGTGTTTATCAAGAAGAAAAATGAAAGCGAACACAAAAAAGAAAGTATTTTCTTAATTTGGAAGCAAATTTCATTTTATAAACCGTAGATCCAATGAGTTAAAAAAAAAAAATTGGTAACATATTTAAAACAAAAACAAATAAAAAATAAAAATAGTATTAAAAATAATATTTGTTGTTGGTATGCTATTCTACGTTGAGTTCATTAAGAAAAATGAAAGTGAATATAAAAAAGAAAAAAACATTTCGTCAATTTGGAAGCAAATCCCATTTTATGGATGGTACGTGTCACGATCGTGGTGGTTTTGCTTGGAGATAAAGCAAAAGTGTACAGAATTCCGCGTGAATGAACAGTAATGGGCGGGAATTCAAATTTTAAATTCCGAATCTCCGTATTTACAGCTGTCTATATATCTGGGTCCAGCCTCAGATATTTGTTAGTGGAGAGAGATATGAGAGATATGCTTTTGCAGTTGGAGAGTTATTACACTGAGGTGATTTTCTGGTACCTTGTTTCGTCCCTCCTTTTCTTTCTGCCATTTTTGTCGATTTATTTGGTATACAATGTTGTACCTCTGCTAATCCTTCTGTTCAGACACCTTAGCTTTGATATTTTTGCTCTCTGATCTTCGTACACCGGAACAAACTTCACCGGAGCTGGCCGAGTGAGTTAAAAAAAAACTTAGCTTTGATATTTTTGCCCTCTGATCTTCGTACACCGGAACAAACTTCACCGGAACTGGCCGAGTGAGTTAAAAATAAAAATAAAAAATAGTAATAGATTTAAAACAAAAATAAATAAATAAAAAATAAAAATAGTATTTGTTGTTGGTATATTGTTCTTTGTTGAGTTCATTAAGAAGAAAAATGAAAGTGAATACAAAAAAAAAAAAAAAAAGTTCCCATAATCAGAGTTCATACAATCTATATAGAGACATTCGGGTTGAAACCTCCATTCACACCAACAAAAGCATTTTAGCACCGATCGAACAGAACGACGGATTTTGAACATACACACAACAAACAAGTAAGATCTGGTGCAAGGAGAGGAAAATCCCAAAATAAATCAAGTTATGCGTACCAGAGATACAAACACGGAACAAGGTTACGAGTAGAGGATGGTTGAGGCGTTGCGGAAGTAGTGTTGGCCTGGATTGGTCGTCTGATCTTGTGCAGTCTTCTCTCATTTTTTCGTTCTTCTTCATCATTGTCTACTTCGTGTGTGAAGAAAATGAAACGCTAGCATCCACACAGAGATGTGCATTGGTGTATATGGGGTAGTTTGGTAATTGTCCATTCTCCTCACGTACCTAGCAATTTGTGATTTTGTAGCCAAATTTGTCCGTATGTGATTTTTTAGCCTAAAAACGATTTCCCAACCTAGGCCAAACTCAACTTGTTTGACCCCGATTTGTCCAGCTTTAATTAGAATTTATCTCGGTTTTAATTATTTCTCATCATTTTGTCTAGTTTTAATTGAATTTTGTCTCGATTTTAGTAGACTTGATTCTTGATTAATTAGATCTAAACTCAATTTGTTTGTTATTGTTATTGTGTTTATTTTTTTCATAAACAAAACCCAAAAGAAGGTAGTTTATTACTAGCTGACTGAATTTCGAAATCTTACAAAAGTTTACTATCACTGTGTACGGGGAGTAAATATTCGTCTCTTTCCGTACTCGTTGTGTCCAAGTTTTACTCATTTCCGAATAACCTGAGAACACAAAGACGGTGAGCTATCCAGCGGTGTGCAGCCGGAAAACCCCTTTGACGATCAAGTTAGCTCACTTAGAGAGAGGGAAGGAGGAGGTGAGAGGAGACAAAGGAGTAGGTAGCTTTGATAACTAGAAGTTTCAGACCTGTGCATAGAGGCGTAGCACCATTTATATACTTTCTGCGCGCTTCTCTCTGTCCATCTTCCTTCTGACGAGTGGATATGTTTCCCTCTTACCTTCTTTCACGTATAGGCGCAAATATTGCCAAACACCAAATAGTGAAACCGCCTAATGGTATTGACGTGTACGGACAACGAAATCTCCTTCCTGCAATCTAAACACGCCATGTGGTACACCTTACCGAGCGGTGCTAAGCACAGTGGCATAGTTTTCTCTCAGGACCGCGCTATTTGCACGGTCCCGTCGGAGAAGTCCTGCGCGCAGGCTCAACCGAGCTCTACGGTCCACAATAAGCTCTTGCTCGATTGAACCTAGTCTTTTGAGGACAAATTCTGCCCAACTTAGTGAAACGCACATCTCTAGATGGAGCTTGTACCTCAAGCTTGTCCTTAGCTTGACCGGGCTAAGACCTCGGTCCAGCGCGTATCCAACATCTGACCGAGTAAAGACCTTGACTAAGGCCCAAACTAGCTCGGCCCATATTGGGTCATAAATCTCCCTCTCACACTGTTATTTTATTTTATTTATTTATTAGAAGTCTCCTATCTTACTATGATTAATAAGAAATTTTAAAATTAACTTTAATTTAGCATTGTTAATCCCTTGTCTTGTATTTAGCCCATTCATTAAACAGAAAGATATAGGCCCTGTTTGGTGATTTTTTTTAAAGTTACAAGTTAATAATCAGAAAGTAGAAGTTAAAACATCATTTTTTTAGTTTTTATTGTTTTGAAAAGTTGGTTAAAGTTAGTTTTTAAGTTTTTTTTGAAAAAATATGTAAAAAAATAGAGAGGTGATATAATCAAAAATAACTTAAAAGTTAAAAAATTGGTTTTTTTTACCATCTTTCCAAATTGGTCCTAAATAATTTGATTTTTTTAAAGTTTATTTAAGTTATTTTTACCTAAAAAGTTATAAACAGAAGTCGTACTACAATTTGATACAAATTCTTAAATTAAAATACTAATCACTTCCTAAAAATTATCCCAACAATCTCATAATAATAAATGGCAAGATTAAAGGTAAAAGATTATACTCCAATGCATGTCATTACAGCAAGAAATATAACGAAGACATTATTGAAGTAAAAGCTTCTCTAGTTTGGCTCAATAAATATAATTTGTGAATAAATATGATTTTACTATTAATAATTTTCCATCAATATTATTTATTTATATATTTATCCTTTTAAAGAATGGGCTTGTTACATTTTCTACCTTTAAATTATTACCAAAAGGTTTACTTAATCTTTAAATTATTAATTGAGTCTACTTTGTATTTAAAGTATACAAATTAAAATTTATTTAGTTTTTAAACTATCGATTGAATCTATCTAATCCGTAAAGTATTTAATTCAAATATATTTAATTCCTGAAATGATTATAAAAATAAAATATATATCTATAAATATTATAAATTAGTAAAAGACCTTATCAAGTTAAAATTTTATTTTAGAAAAATTTTAAATTTTTATTTTGTCTTTTAAAATGTGCTTGATTTACCTGTGTGTTTAAATTATACAAGTATTAGACGTACTAAATAAGTAAAATAAGATAATTTAAATAATAACATTTCGCTACAAAGTATAATAGAGTAAAAGAATACATTAATTTAGTTATAAAAAGAATTCAACGACAAACTTAAAAACAATCAATTATAAATTATAAATCTAGTAAAGCTAAGTGAATAGCTATTGTAGAAAATAAGTACGAAAATATTATAAATAACTACCTTTATCTTTATAAAAGAAAATTCACCAGAAGAAGTGACACCCATTTTTTGAAGACGGAATAAAAATTTAAGATTTTTTAAAATAAAATTTTGACTAAATAAAGTCTTTTCCTAATTCATAATATTTATGGGCTTATATATATATATATATATACATATGAGAGGGAGATTTATAATCTAGTTTTGGACCGTAGAAGAGGTCGAACAGGTCATGGCCGAGAATGTTTGGGCCGAGATCACTTGGGCCTGAT